AAATGTGTTTTCATCTGATGAGTAATAAGGTATATAACATAGCCATTGGATTGTGCAATCATCAAAAAATATTTAATGGATTTAAAAGACAAATGACTGTGTCTGCTCGTTATTTCTGATATCGTAATTGATTTTTTTGTTGTGTAAAAAATAGACTTTTGAGAACTTGTTAAGAACGTAATGCAGATTTAAAATCGGTTTAACAGACAAAATTAGGATAGATTTACATAAAATCTCTCTCTCTCTCTCTCTCTCTATATATATATATATATATTTTTTTTTTCAGAAAAAGTGGTTCCACCGTTTTTCGGAGCAATCGCTATTGCATAAGGATAATGGATCCAAAAGTTATTATAATTAGTGTCATCTTGACCTTATTATTCATTTCATTGTTATTGGGACTTGGACTCGGTTTGGGGTTGCCTTCATCCGACATCGTGAATGAATATTCTGGTAACTTATTTAAATACTCATTCCGGGCTTACTTTAATATCAACACACTGTCCCAAAAAATTGAGCAAAATGAAAGAATCACAACCCAATTTCAGATCGAATGGAATTCTTTTTCTAACAAAATGAGGTTACGGCAAATAGAAAATTGGACTTCAGATTCAGCGGACAGAGGTTTAACCTATTTCACCACGGTGGACAACAAAGCAACGATAAGCTTTTCTCATGGAAATGATACGTTACTGTCATACTGTGTAAACGGCAACATTGACAATGAATGGACAATAATTTTCCACAATATCTTCGTCGAGAACAATACTATGTTTAGTGGAATGTCAAACCTTTGTTCCGGAAACGTCTGGAATATTAACCTTGGTGAGAAAACAATCGAGATCTGCATAATTAAAAAACAATTGAAGTACGTGATGTATAAAAATATTCGGGCGAAAGTGACATCGTGGACGGAAACTTCAACTTCGACCATTAGGACAGCAGCCGTTGTTGAGGATGGACCATGTGGTAAAGCGATTTTAGAAACAGAATGTAACAACTGCAGTATCAGTAACAATATAGAACCAACAAGGAAAGATCATCGTGTAGAATTAACTTGCTTATTTGTACATGGAGCAGGTGAGATACCAGTTGGAAATTCCACAGGTTTTATCAGTAAGACTTCCCTTCCTGAATATTGGGGGAATGTTAAGAAATATACACCAAACTGCAAATCTCACAGATTCATGCATTACGACAGCAAGAATAATGGTTGGGATAACACTCAACTGCATATTAATTTTTGTGACTTTGCTGCCACAAATGGAGTTATAATGAATAAGGTGATATTTTCACATTCGATGGGAAATTTGGTAATTGCAGCTGCGTTGCATAGAAATATCTGTAGCTTCGATCAAACTACAAGCCGCTGGTTCTCTCTTCAAGGACCTTGGCGTGGAACACGACTGGCTGATAAATTAGACTCAATATGTAGAGGTAAACAGAAAGTTTTTAAATCTATCTTAGAGATAAGTAAATTTTGTAAATCTTCTGACAATCGTGCGTATCCGGCATACATTTCGCTGAAAACAACGTATGCCTCACCATTGGGAATAAGTTATGATACCTTAATTATGACTGGAAGGCAGTATATATCGGGGGTCCTATGTGGTAGGAAATCAGTTCGCCTTCGATTGAAAGGTTTACTGGTTTCATTTGGCCTCATGCATATAGCAAGCTCTAGCGGTCTAGAAACACCCAACGATGGAATCGTGTCGTTGGCGAACTGTATGATAAAGGGTGAATTTCAAAGTAGTTATAAAGCTCAGTTTTATACTGGCAAATTTAATCATTTCGATGGAACTTGCCGGAACGGAGAACCACTAATTAAGAACGAAGCAAAAAATCCATGTAAGTGGTTCTATTACATGCACACTTTGCATTGAATTTAATGGACTTCATAGTATAATAATGGAGCTCTGTTGCACACAAACACAATCTTAACAGATGTTGTAGAAAATATTCCCTTGTGCATTTCGTATTAAGTTATCACTTCACACACAAACACAAGCAGGTTTACTAACAATTGAGTAAACGCACTATCCGTATAAAATAAGGCCGTAGTATTACCCATATGCTGAGAGGTTTAAACGAGCCGGAAGCTTATTAGCCGATATAAACTTATGTTTAGTGTTAAGTCACATATATTGGATTAACTGATAATGATACTCACGCTGAAAGCTATTGCAATTCATCGTGATATTTCCGTTCATACTCTTTCCTTACCCATTTGACATCCTTGTGAATTTTGTTAATGAATATGAGTGAATATTTTGTAGAGTTGACTTTGCTGTAATACAATGAAGATGTACATACTATTTATTTTGAATTGTTTCCTGAAAACTCTGACATATAGTTCATGTATATACAGTTAACTACCGATAGCTGTGTCGGTACATGTAACAGAAAAAAAACCGTTATTCTCACATACTTATATTTTGTATCATTGATGACGTCAGGTTGACAATATTGACGTTTTGTTTTGTTTTGTTTTTGTTTTTGTTTTTTTTTTTTTTTTTTTTTTTTTTTGCGGGGAGATGGGGGAGGGGGGGTTGTTTGTTTTTGTTTTTTATTTTTGGGGTTTTTTTTGTTTGGTGTGTGTGTTTTTTCTTTTTTTCTTCAACTTATTCGTAAATAACAAATTATATTATGCAGCCATATTGGACTACTATTTTATTTTTCGAAAAGCATAAAAATAGCAATATTTCAGAAATATATGTTTACTATTATCAATGCCATTGGAATTTAGTTACTATGTGATCATTCCTGCATATATCTATTGTGTGTAATAAAAGAAGTATATAGTATGTTGTGTATTTGTGTCTTTATAAAGCAGAATAAATCGAAGACGTTGGATGCAGACCATTAGGAAACCAGTGGATATCGATCAAAACCCAAGTTAGAATATAAGTTGTGAAGCTGAACAGGTCTACAGCTACCCTTATTATAATAAAGCGACAGGAATTAATGTTTAAGTGCCTATAAAGCGATTGTACAGTTACAGCAGAAGAAGTGGCGAAGTAGGTCTGTCTACCGGATATCTGAATGTTTAGTAATTTTGAGCTATTTGTGGATAACAACCTACATATCTCAAAACCTTAGCAGATCAAATATTCGACACACTTTAACCAATCAGAGGCTGCGGTATCCAAAAATAGTAAAATTAACCTAATAACAAAAATAGTATCAAGGGTATCGATAAAAAAAACCGATGTTGGAACGTGGGATAACATCAGTCTATTGTATTCATCTAACTGTATTCCTATAAAACAGGTAATAAGATAGTTATATTGGTAATACCGGTAACTAAATTGTATCATTCACACCAACTGCTGTTGAAATTATGGAGAAATGTTGAATAGTAACTGAATAAAAGACCCATATTAGAAAAGATATCGATGGAGTTTTAGTTATAGATAAAGTGTAATATTCAAATTAACTGTGTTCTATTTTAAAAACCGCCCTTCTACTATATATAATACCTACTGCTAATGACCTAAACCTAGGAAATCTGGTTGGTGAGGTACGAAACAAGACGAAATGAATGATCATTTGCCTACTTCTATCTTTTAATGACCAACTTCAACAGGTGGAACACTGTCTTTTGGAAGAGTTCAAGAAGTTATAGGATGACATGTGTACTGATTCTATCGATAAATATATTTTGAAAAAAATTAATATTGATTCTTTCTAAAGTATAAACTCTGAACTATGATTGTGTCATTTTTTACTATCCACTGTCAAGCTAATATGAGTCTTCTATCTAATACAAGTACGTATTTATACATGTAAATAAAGAGTGTATATTAAAAATAGATTAAAATTTTTTATAATGTAATGAACAAAAAGTTTGGCATTTGCTTTCACTGGTGTGGCATATTTGAATTAAAATATGAAATAAGTTATCAGTAAAGAAGCGTATTATTCCTTTGCTTTTTAAAAATTCTAACCAGTTGATTGTAATGATGGGGAACTTTAATATTACTTGATTAAGCAATTCTGTTAATCCATCAAATCAAACTAATTATAGAAGTTATCTTCCAGTCGACGTGCTTTCTAGATGAAAATATCCATATATTCGAAGGCATGTGAAGCTCTTTGTGAAAACTGGTTGCCCTGAAAAGGGTCATTTGTGGAATCAGTGAACAAAGTTGACTTTCGAGTACAATCTCCTCTGAAACGGCAAACAAGTTGTTTATCCTTTGGCGTCCTGGTTACATGCTTGGCGTGGTTGGCGCATAGGTTAGTATTCTTGGAAAGTGCTTCCTGCAGCGCCAAGATAGCAGAACTCTAAAATCTCATATCCGTTTTGAAATTGTAATCAACTTCACGGACGTGCCGATGGAATCGCAGTTTTCTAATAAGCAGCGGGGTGCCCTTCTGGTATCGACGGATTTCACGGAGTGAGACAGTTCCAGGCCTGTAACGGACGGGTTTCCTCACACCCCTACCGACTACGAATTAACGAACTTTGTAGACAAACGTTTAAATGCAGCTTTGCCTCCCTTACGTTTACCTGGGAACTGTTTAAACGAGCCATTTCTTTTGCGTGGTAACCGTTTCTTTTGGTGTTTGGTAGCATACAACCCTATGATGATAAGATCTATTTTCGTGGTCACCGATTTGTTAAATAAAGATCATGGCCGTCGGAACACCGTTAAGGAAATACCATCGCATTTTCTCGGACGAATCACTTGACTCGTTTTCATATCATACATCACAGGATTCCGGTCCAGCACGCATTGGCATGTATCACTTAAATGGGAATATTCACAATTCAAATACTGCATCAGTGATAGGCTCTTCCTTATCTATGATGCACAACGTCCGGTGAAAGGAAGCGTTCGCTTTACCATAAACACTTTCAAAAGAAGACTGAATCTGATAACAATTTTCTGCGTAATAACCTCTTACCTTCTTCCGAAAATAATTTACATACGCCTTTTAGGTCACCGACTGGTTACTGCAAACGAGTCAGATAGTATCACGGGATACTTAGAAATATCTCTATACTATGTTAAAGCTATCACTGACATGAGAGGCTGGTATGTTTCCGCGGGACTACGTACCATCTCGGTAAGATACTTTATTTTCTTTTAGTTTGAATAAGTTTTTGAAAATGATGTCATATCTGTATCAAATACATTAAGCAATATGAACAGATTGAAATTATATTAGCTGTTTCAAATATAATCAGCATTTCTTATATTTTGTTTATAACGGTGAAGATTGATATGGTATGTTGTATTGTTATGCAGTTTGTTGATAACTTTTAGAAATTTTTATCAAATATGAAGACCGTGTACAACAGTGTACGATTCAATTCCGTATTTTATTACTATTATTTTTTACTTTTCAATATGTAAGTATCTTTGATTTAGTAGATTCAGTAGCACCTGTCCCTTTCATTGGACGGTATTTGAAAATTTTGAGAAATTTGTTTTTGATAATCAAATTTTTGCATATCCCCATGGTTTACATATGTTAAATTGTGGATATTTTTGTGCCTTGCTGCCCTGTTTAACAGATTATTAACACTTTGTTTAAACAGAACAAATAGATTATAATTTAATCTTTTCATTTTTATAATTTCCTCCGATAGTTCGAATTTTCTTATAGTAAAATAGAGTTATCCTCATACATGTTCGAGCTAATCTTACGGAACACCTGTATATTATGGAACAGCTATCTTACTCCTCACCTCACTAAAAACAAATACGGGTGTTCCAACTGAACACCTGTACATTACGGAATAGCTATATTACCCCCACCCCCTCTTTTTTTTTCTCGTACATTATTTTCCATTGCACGCTAAATGGTAAGAAGAACAAGAACTTCTATTAAACAGGACAGGATAAAAATCACACACAAATTTAACGCATTGAAATTCCAGTTTTACTCCTTAAATTTCCAAATAAGTACCATGTTTAAGTTCAGAAATCAAATTCATCACTTTAGTAATCACGAATTTAAAAAATGAATTGACCTATCAAACAAGGAACAGGTTCCATCACTATTGTAAAACATCATCAATGAGCGGTGTTCTTATTTGATCTTGTTTGTTTATGAATAGATAGTTACGAATGAGTGATAGGTACTAAAATTAAACAACGTAAATATATGTTATTAAAGGATTTCTAAATGAAGTTCAAACGTTATTAGGATTAAGGAAAGTAGAGTATGCATTCATAAACTTATCACAATAAAGTTTATCTGGCATTAAGAAAAAAAGACATTTGATAGTCTAGACGGAGTACTTATGATATTTTGTAGTCTAAATGAAGTACTCATGACATTTTGGTAGTGTAAATGGAGTACTCATAACACTTTGTAGTCTAAACGGAGTACTCAAGATATTTGGTATCCATATCGGAGTACTCATGACATTTAATGTCTTAACGGAGTACTCAAGGCATTTAGTGTCTAAAGGGAGTACTCGTGGCATTTTGTGTCTAAAGGGAGTACTCGTGGCATTTTGTGTCTAAACGGAGTACTAATGTCATTTGGTAGCTTAATTGGAGTACTCATGCCATTTGGTAGTCTAAACAGAATACTTGTGACATTTTATAGCCTAAATTCGTGAAATTTGGCACTCATAAAGTTGTATTCGTGAAATTTGGTATTCTTGAAGAAACATTAGTAAAATTTGAAGTGTGACATTCAATGAAATTCAAATGTCTCGTATCTGCACTTCTATGATAAGTACATGTGTGTTTGTATGTACTCCTAAAGATGTAAATAAATTAGAAGTTATTTATTTTCATTTTTATTATTCTATCCACTCTTCGTAAAGGAATCAATGAGATTATTTACTCATTTAACTTTATTTAAGTCTGTAGCTCGTTTCATGATTTCCGTGTAATAATCATCTTTGTTAAATACATTATCGGCAAAACTTTGAAAATTTGAGTCGCCGATTTGTTTGTTTGGGATTTTTTTCGGAATTCAGCATAAAACAACAAAGAAAAACATCTTATGGCACATCCGATAATCTGTCCTCCAGTAGCCGATAATACTTGGATACCTTGGTGTAGAACAGTATATAAATAGCCAGTTATTATTACTGTACTGAATGACCTACGAAGTTCACCAATAGATTACTCAGAACTATGTACTTCCCTCTATGTAGTGCGAAAAAGGACATTTAAAGACCGGAATACCACTCGTGTTGTCTAACTGCTTTACGTATATAACACTCGAAAGTTTATGACCTCAGTATGAACGTGCGAAACACACTTAAGGGGTTGATCAATTACATCGTATATGTACAACATATATGTTAGGAAAACCTAATGGAACATTTGTTATAAAGTATGTGCACAATTGAAAGAATACATAGATATCGGCATATGGTCGTCAATAATCTCAACGACAAAACATACAAAAAATAAAAAATCAAGTTAAAAAACAAGAACAAAAAAATAAAAAGAAAAAAAACAAAAAAATAAGAAAACACAAAAAAACACCCACAAACATAAAAACCAAGAAAACATACATACAAAACAAAAATAAATACATCCTTTATTTTAACAAAATTTCTATTCAAACAATTGATAGACCGAAATATTAGTAAAGAGTTACACGACGATCCCTTTACAGTACAAGGACGAGAAGGTCGGGTGTTTCGGAACAGTAAGCGTTTTTCTTTCGTCAGCGAACCATGCATGTCGATTTTAGTAAACATAAGTAAGTTTCGTGGAGAGGAAAAAGATTAGCATCAACATATAAATTACCCATCATACTGATGAACGTCTTACGTCATATCGCATAAGGAAATCAATATAAACACGCTTTATTACAGTCAGCTTCAGAGAGAAAACCTCTGACAGTGAATACTTATTGGAAATTAATCTTTTCATATATCAGTTAATGGTGTAATAATGCGATCGGTTACAATTTTGATTACACAATTCAGTGAGGAATATATAGATTATCATCAACAGTCAGGGTAACGTCTTACAAAAGTTAGCCTTCGGTACTCTTGAGTAAAGGTATATCCGTCTTCATCAGATGACGGTAAACGTTTCCATTAGATTACAAATATGGGAGCTTGTTCTCATAAAGATTTTTAGATCAACAAATTATAATTTGAAGGATACATTCATGTATTGGACGTGTCCTAAGATTTCCTATGTAAACCATATACAGCGTTGAGAAAGAGACGAATGACTTATTACAAGTAATAATGTCATGCGAATAAGCATTGATAAATGAAATTTTCTCTTTTCAGGAAGACGATCTCACAAATATTGACAAAACTCTACATTAAAGGTTCTAATTCAAGTGTTCTTCTGTAAAGAAGGTAAAAATGAATCGTTGGGCTGTTTTCACATGTGCCGCCATACTTTCTGTATGTTTACTTGGAGCGGTCGTCGGGATTCTGTATGGTCTGAAACCATTTTTAGAAAGCAAACCAAGCCACAACATATTCAATGATCCATTCACTGCATCTTTTGACGTTGATACAATTGAACGGGAAGAGCTAGGTACTGAAAAGACTTACCTGAAAGTAGAGTGGCATCCGGCATCCAGAAAAATGAATTTTCAACACACTGAAGTGTTCTCGTCGAACTATGATTTTGATTATGACCTTTCTCTTATTATGGCTGATAGTAAAGCAACTGTAGGTATTTCTCACAAGAATATGTCACTAGGGTTTTGTATAGATGACATGTCCCTATCGCGTTGGTACGTCGTTTTCCAACAAATGGTATCAGAAGACAAATGGTTCAGAGGCGATCTGTCGACAGATTGTCATGGAGATATTTGGTCTACGAAACACAAGAATGACGTCATTGAAATCTGCGTGAAAGACAATCAGTTAAAGTATATTAAGTATCAAGAGCGGCGCGCAACGATTAACAGTTGGACAAAAGCCAATAAGCAGATCATTCGTATCAAAGCTGATGTATTAAATGGTCCTTGCCGTAATGTCACACCAATAACCTGTAATGTGGAGAACCATCCGAAAGTCAAAAGAGATTCAAAGACATCACCAACCAAGTGTTTGTTTGTGCATGGAGCTGGTAATTTTGTTGATAGGAACGATGTTAAATCATATATGGAAGACTATTGGGGTGACATAAAAAAACACACATTAGATTGTGCCTCACATCAGTTTTTGGTTTATAACAGCAGGGATAATGGATGGGATGAAGACCAAATACACCAGCACTTTTGTAATGTTGCTGCCACGAATGGAATTATTAGTAACACGGTGTTATTTTCACATTCAATGGGCAACATGGTAATTGCAGCTGCACTGCACCGTAAAAAGTGTGCCTTTAATCAGTCCACGAGTCGATGGTTCTCTGTTCAAGGTCCATGGAAAGGAAGTGCTGCAGCCAATACACTGGTAGATATTTGTAGAAATCCAACAAGTTCACAGAAGTTGATTCGCCGCTTATTGCGGAATCAAGGGTACTGTAAACCTACTGAAGACATTGAATACAATGTTTATACGACACTAAAAACCAATTATGTATCTGATACCGGGATACGACATGATGATCTGATAAACATCGGCAGGAGATACGTATCAGGTGTAATGTGTGGCACTAGCAGTTGGGGACTAGGACAGGATAAACAGGAGAGCACTGCCCTTAAGATGATGCAGTATTACAGCGAACTGGGGAAACCTAATGATGGAATGGTGGCATTTGATAGCTGCAAATTAAAGGATGAAGTGTTCGAAGCAAGAAGCTCTAATCCATATTACAAAGACAAAGTCAACCATGCAGATGGCACTTGTAGACATGGCGGGTGTCCCTGTCGGTGGTATCATAATATGCATTGAATTTGTGAACTTGTATCCTTGTGCAGTATACCAAGACTTACATAGTGAGTGTGTTCGAAGACATGAAGACGCTTACGTTCCTTTTGGAATACCCGATCATATTCCTCTTGTACATTTCCAATGGTCTTCGTATCAACAGTTGTCTTGTTCAGGTTTTGCATTCGTGATTTGATTACGGTTTGGTTAACTTGGCGTTATTTGCTGTTTGTTATTACGATACCAAAGTTTTAATGTAGATAACAGGATTGATCTCTTAGATACGAAACGAAATGTTTGATTTGATAACACGTTGTATGAAATTTTGGTAAATAATGAAAAGAAATTGAGAACTTATACAAATACCATGAAGCAATGCGAAAGTGAGATATTTATGAAAATTCCGCACTTCTATGCAAAATGTGCATCCTTGTGTCTGCTGCCTTAACAAAGTCGCCATGAATCTGCTAATATATTAATCTAACAGTGATAATAACAGCTATAGGAAAATGCGCAAAAGTTGATAAGACGAATATTAGATAACTCTTTACGATACTTTTGAATAACGTGTTGTTTATGCTATACCATAAATTAGCGCTATGAGTTAAATGGGTATACAGCTAATTAATAATGCCATGTAAGAATGGTAAACGCCTTACTTTTTCAAAGTGTACAAACAAATTTGTGATTTTTGGTGATAAATAAATTTTGTTGAATATATATATTATTTTCAAAGTCCGGGAGTTAAGTTTAATTAAGAGAGAAGTACTTTAGCGACGGAAAATGTTTTTATTGTTAACACTATCACCTGAATAACGACATCAAAGACGCCTTCACAAGAAGTCCGCAAGAAAATGGTCTACACAAAATTATATAAAGCGATAAAGTTACAGCTATAAGTATAACAACTGATAACAAAGTATGCCCAAAGCTCAAAAGTCTCAGATATTACTTTCACCATTATTCTTTCTGATTTCAAATCAAAATAATATCAATTAAGTTTCAGAGATTTGTTTTATTTTTCTACCATATCATACTATATCAACAAAACATGCTACCAAAATATAAGATAATCAGAATTTACATTAAAAACTTAATCTTACTCTATCAATTACCAATTTGTACAATGAATAATTCTAATTCAAAGAGACTTCATTGTTTTTATTAGTAACAACAAATACAGTGTTTTAAAAACGATCCCTCACCTAAGTATTCCAGCTTCCTCGTCAAAACGTTCCTGTTCACCTATTCATCGAAATACATAAGAAAAAAAACGAAAACGAACCCTCATAACTCTATTTCTCATACTGGGCTTACTATCATCTGCGCTAAGAGAACATGGGTTCACATTTACGTAAAGAACCCGTTTACCCAAGGATATTCGAAATGACCACACACACATGTAGGGTCTGTAGGGCGGTCAGATTTACTGTTTTCGAGAAACATAGTCTCCTTCATCAAAGGAAGTTTCTGACCAACATACTTTTATTTCTGTATATTAAAAATAAGTTTTTTAAGAAATGACTAAGTTCGAATATTTGTTTCTCGCCCCTTTAGCCACAAGAGGCAATCAACTAATCTTAGCGTCCTCTACCCCAATGATAGTATGATATAGTTTAGTCCAATGTCCATCCCAATATAATATGGGATTCTTTTCTTTGCGATATGCGGCTCCGCCCTCTTTCCCGGGGAATGAGTGTCAGACGCAACGTTCATACAAATTAAGCCTGAGCCTGTTTCAGCCAAGGATACTTCAGAAAAAAATTAGACAAAATCCAAGGGGAAAAAGGATTTCTTAACATATTTCGCCCCGGATAGGGAATGCTGTTGGGGTGGGGTTGGAGTTGGGATCAGATCTACCGTACCGTTTATCTAAACCAACGGACTTTTCAGGCCGAATTTATATATTAGTTTCTTACTCTCAGAATGATCTGGCCAAATTAAGTTGAAATTGCCTTCGTCGTTGATGACAAATAGCATTTTTTCTGCAAATATTTGACAGACGACTAACGACGGGACACCAAGGTATGGCAAAGGCTCATCGGTCGTTGGGATCTGGTTAGTTAATGACATTGTAGTAAGAAAACATATATATAATATTTTGCATACAAACAATTTATTCAGTATATATGTTTCTTGTTTCTAGCACCATTTCTGCATTACGACATTTTGTGTTTATGAGTGTTTGTTCCTTTGCTTTATGTCCACTTATGCAAAACTGAACAATGTGTTAATAAATGTACAGGATGATTTATGCTACAGATTGGTACATTTGATTAAACCACAAAAAGGAATACGTTATTCAAACCTTTACGAAGAAGTGATGTCGATATAAGTTGACAATAATTCCATTTAAACCTTGAAAAGAAGATGTAAAATTTCATTTCGCAAACCAATGTAGATCTTTGGTTAATCTTAACATGATTTTTGTTTTTCAAAATTTATTGATATCAAAAGAAACTGTTTTTCCTTCTATGTATTTTGACATTTTTCGAATCAATTTTTTAGTTTCCACATTTTCCTCTCAAGTTTAATAACTGTAGGCCGTCAGTATAACTGACGAATCCTAGAAAGACACTAATTAGTAGTATTATTATTTGGCTTAACTACATCTAATTCTAATTTGTATTGAATGGTGCCATTCTTTCTATGTATCCTTAACATAACCATTTTGACCGACATTATATAACTCAGTTATTTCAACACAGTGCATACATACGTAACAGTCAAATATGTAACAAGGTTTATAATACATTAATTAAACGCTATAAATTTCTTGTCGAAAAAGTTCTTTGAGTAACTGCATCATATGTTGCGTATTTTTCCTCGAATTACTACTTATCTCCCTTTTGCAACACAAGACTCAGCTCGATGCACCTGCTCTGATAATCTTTGAAAATAAGTTCACGTAATTTATCAATCGGACATTATTTTAAACTTGGCATTCAATTATATATGAAAATATAGATCAAAATACAAATAACAAGTACTAATTGAAATGGGGACCATTACAAATGTCCCCCAAACGACCCTTTCAGCAGTAAATTATCACAATAATCAGATCGGAAAATATCTAAAGGTTGGCCAAATTTTGACCACAGCTGACCACTCAAATGACCGATCGATGGCCGAATGAAAAATGGACAACGCCATTTTGCTCCTAGTACCACCTAATACATATATATCAATTTTCTTCAAGAAAATCGGACAATATCTAAAATTTGGCCAACTTTTGACCTCAGCTGACCGATTGCAAAAATTCAAGTGACCTACACTCCGCCTCGCATATATGAATATCTGTGTATAATGTTAAATTCCAAGCAATAATTTTTGAGAAACGCGTCGGAAACCTCGCCAGTTTCGTTTGGGGGACATAATAACAATGTGTATATTCATATATCAAAATGCATGTCATGGATTTGTTCAGTATTGACGTAAAAAAATATGACACGCATTAACCAGTATCTACCATTCATGTAGTTCCTGCATAATGAAATAATGAAAAGAGTTGTTCGTTTGGTGCTAATTACTTTCAATAGCAAACTAAATTCCGGATGATTTTAAGTATTTGAGCAACCCAAAGCAAAATATACGAAATATTTATTGAAATTCTCAATCTGATCAATTAATTATTATTGGTCTTTGTATAAATGCAGTACCAGATTTTAACTTTGAATAAAGTACCTTGTAGTACAAATTAATATAAAAATAGAAACATATCTGTATATTCAAATGGCACATCAACATATAGAGATAATTGTAATGGGGAAACATTTAACCAAGAGAAATTGGTTTTATTTTAAATACTCAAGCAATAGGAATCCAGGCTAAAGCAATATTTTTGAATTTCTAAGCGTATGAAAGATCTCAAAATGTTTTGTTATATACGATTCCAAAGACTTTTCCACCATGTATTCTCACTGACGAACGTTTTATTTGACAATACATTTATCACTGACATAGCGACCGAAGTCCTGTTTAATTGTGCATCGGATAAACTTATTTTAACTAAGGAAAATCAGTTTCTCGTGTGTATGAGTAAAAGGTTATTTTTCAGATACAATCTAGCGAAAGCTGCTAGCTTAATTGTCTGATAAAGAAAAAATAAAAACAAATCCAAAACAAACTTGCTTTGACAAGTGCTGTCTAGTTAAAATATCGTTAACATTCGCATTTAAGGCATAGCAAATTACGAATATGGAAACATTGAAAACATTTATCTAAATATCATTTAATCAACAAATGCAATTTAAAGAGTGTATGTGTTTGTAAATCAACACAAACAAACCAAAACAGATAATAACGTTTGTAACATAGTTCAATATCATGCACAGAATAATAATTATGATATAGTAATATGAGAATATATAGTAGTTCTTATATACAGCTTTATCAAAGAAACATTGCGGTTTCATAACAGTTCACTAAGTATCCATAGTTATGAAGTCTCTTACTACTTCGGATATAACCTCATCAAACGGAGCTGTCATAAGGCGTTAACATCGTATAAACATTTTCAGCATTCCCTTAATACGTAACCTTTTACAACTAAGTCGACAAGAAACAAGTAAAGTATCTTGTCCCAGTAGGTAACACGGCGCCCATGTTAGGAGAACACGTGTTCCTCCATTCACTAGCCCAAAGCATTTACCTAGACTACCATACCACTTGTAGTTGCAAAGAAGAACCTTTTATAAATACTTACTTATAAATACCAGTACATGTATATATCAGTAGCATATCGTGCGGTATGGTCTTTTTGAGAAATATTGATACATGTGAATTGCAGTAGTCGATAGGTAGTTGAACCATTATTTACAAATCGATAATAAACGTATACTCTTTTGTTAAATGAATACACATTTGCATTGCGATAGTCGGTCGCTAGCTAGTTAAGTATAATCTACTAGATGATGAAAAAAGTCGCATTCTATGGTACAATTACAGTCGTAGCAAAAGGACAGTTGCCGACTCCACGGGCTCAAATCGAATTTTCCGTCTCCAGGTTTTATTCACTGTCTTCTTAGTTGATGTACACGTCGGTTGCCTCTAGATAATCTTTCAAGAGGGCATAGCAGAAGTAATACTGCTCCTGTGAATGAATGACATTTTAAATTTATCTCCTCGAACGCTACCATTGTTCTTATCAAGTTCCAGCTAAACAGGAAGTTATTTTTTCATTGACATATTTTGACATTCTTTTGTCTTTATGGTCAATAAAAGCGTTGATGAACTTTGGTATATAAACGAATGTTGCCTCGTGTTTTTTTGTCTTTTTTTCTCTCGAAATTTTTACTTACAAAACTGCTCAAAAACTCTGGTCGCCTGATAAGAAGTTGTCGCGCAGCCTGAAATACATCCACCTCCTCGTCCATTTTGATCTGGTCGCGGGTGTTCGCCATAAGGCAAAATAGTCCACATTGAGTTGATCCGTCCCTGTCAAATTAAAAACAATCAAGTTAAAAACATGTGAAACAAATGTAACCATGCCGACGATCATCAGGTAACCATCGTGCATATGTGTTTCTGGTGATAAGCAATATTTGAACTTTGAATAATAGATAATCACTGGCAGTTAACCTATATGGATAACAATCGGCCAAAGGAGAAAGAGGCTATAACTTACTTGCAAGTAACAACAACAGGTTTATTCCCACTTGACCGGCGTCTGCTATCCACCTGTTCCAGAAGATGAATAATGGATTGTTTTGATGATGGAACCTGTTCATCTGTTGTCCACTCCTTCAACCGGAATATTCTCACACTGTGAGCTGCCTTTGCTTTCTGAAATTTCATTCCAAACAAAAATCATTAATTTAATATATATGCATTCTCATTCTTCTCCAAATAAATGCGATACATTGATATCGCAACATTTATAAAAAAAAAAAAAAAAAAAATGTAAAATACACTTTCATGCTGACCAAGGGCACTGTAGCATATTCACTTATGATCTCAGAGATACAATAAGCAATACCTTTCTCTTTATTGAAACATCAATTACATCTACGTCATTACGCTCTGTTGGTCTGGTCATTTGCTTAACGTTGAAATTACCAACATCAATACCGGCTTCATCTTCCGGCATCCATTGTGTATCCTTTGAAAATTAATCATAAACATTATTGTAGAAATATTTACAGACACTATGTCAGCAAAAAACACAGGTTTAGATTTGTATTTATTTCATAACCAAGAAAGTGTGCGATTATTGTTCGAAGGACAAAATTTAGTTGAGGTTTACGTTCATCACGTTGTACCTGTCCAGTGTCCTTTTCGTCCCCGAGTATGACAATAGTGTCACACTGGTTGTCCATCACAAGGGCCAAGAAGTCAGCTCTGGTGTCCGTCAGTGGAAACTGAGTAACGATGTATCCTTGTCTGCATGTGTAAGACTGAAAGAGATATTCATATATTATAAATGCGTGTGTGTGTATGTGTGTGTGTGTGTGTGTGTGTGTGTGGGTGTGTGTGTGTGTGTGTGTGTGTGTGTGTGTGTGTGTGTGTGTGTGTGTGTGTGTGTGTGTGTGTGTGTGTGTGTGTGTGTGTGTGTGTGTGTGTGTGTGTGTGTGTGTGTGTGTGTGTGTGTGTGGTGTGTGTGTTTTGTGTGTGTGTTTTGTGTGTGTGTGTGTTGTGTGTGAGGGTGTGTGTGTGTGTGTGTGTGTGGGTGTGTGTGTTGTGTGTGTGAGGGTTTGTGTGTGTGTGTGTGTGTGTGTGTGTGTGTGTGTGTGTGTGTGTGTGTGTGTGTGTGTGTGTGTGTGTGTGTGTGTGTGTGATTAATATAATTACCTAAAAATCATCTCAATTTGTAATGAGATATAATTTAACTGATTTCCTTACAAATTAAACGATTTGCTTGTGGAGCTACCCATAGAAATTTTCGATAAGTGTTATTATGGGTATATAAAAAAAGGAGAAATGATTGACTTGTTCAAAGTTTAAAACAAATCCTCAGCAAACAAGGCCTCCAAAACTTAAAAAAGTCCATTTACAGATGATCAAATAAGTCTTTATGGGTGCATGCTATTAACAAAACATGTAAACGATGAGAAACACAAGAAATACAACTATTAAACTAACATTCGGTAATTTGTAGCCATCATATGCAATGTTATGTTATGAATCTGCATACACCTGCCAGACAGATTTCCATTCCTCACAATATATACAAAACAATATAATCAATCGTTTTATAGTGCATGGTGTCTTACCTGTGTTATAACAGCGTTGATATGGTCGTTCCGGCTAGAAGGAAACGATTTGGTGACAGCCCTTAATCTATTCCCTGGAAATCAGGTTGATATCGCTCATATTAGATATTTAATGGAATTTTACACTATCACGAATATTTGAGTGTTTAGCTCAAGTAAGGTAGTGATATTAATGATGATGTAAAATTCAATACATTGAAGAATTTATTTATACATGTATCATTAAACATTATCAGTTACTTCATAGCATATGAGTTTTTGCTCGATCAAATAATGTAAGTTTACATTCACCTGCCAATATTCGCTTCGTCCTGTTTTTTGTTTCGTTGTCTTGAAGTGAAGAAGAAAAGAAGTCCTGTTGCTGCGTGTAATCGGGCTTGAGATCCAAAATCAACTGAAAACAAGTTTAACAGACAATTGTAATGCCAGTGATTCATAACAGAAATTGTATCGTTTGCAGTTTAATGCTAATCATATAGCATGATATTAATTATTCACAAGAGTAAAGCGAGTGAAAATAACAGTAAACTTTTGCAAATGAACCAAAAATAATAATATTCTTATTTTCATATTTCATTCACATTGCCTAAAAAACTGCAAAGATGAAATTTAAGCGGCGTTATTTTGTCTTATTCTTTTCTTGACATATTTAATAAACACAACATGTGTTGTTCATCGCTTTTTCAAAGATGTAAAAATGATTGTCTTGGTTGAAATTATCGGAAGAAAGCGTCAAGTTTTTCTTCTGAATGTATGCCATTATGACTTCTAGTTAGTTAAAGGTACTTTGAACTCATTCCTCAGCTGTGTCAAGTTTTGAAGTTGTCCCGTCAGAGAGAGAGCATTGTATTTTGCAACAAATGTCGATTTCGGTATAAGGGTATCTTCAAGGAGAAAAGCCTCAGTCAAGATTTCGTGAAGAGCAATGTACTGCTCCTGTAAAAAATACAAATGTATTGGGCCTTTGAAACATATTTTGGTGATATCATAAATGATAAACCTGATTATAGGTTTTATATTTTACGCATCAAAAAAACAACGTCATATTCTCTAAATGTTGGTTTTGTGTCAACGTCCGTAGTTGTTTTATAGGCATCAAGAAAACGATCAGTCTGGACAAGAGAGAATTATTGCTTACATGGAATATCTGCTAGCTTCATACGAAATTGATGCAATAAAGAAATTGATAAATCTGAATGTAATAATGCTTTAACCTACCACTGTGTGAATCATATTCATTCTGTCCTTCATCATCTTATTCACGAAATGTCGGACGTTGATACGATCATACTTTTTACCGAAATCTAACAAAGCGTCAAGGGCAATAAACATTCCTGTCCTTCCAATACCAGCGCTAAAATATGAATTTGAACCTTTCTGATTGAGGAATTCCATGTGTTAAATTGTTAGGTATCTATTTCATATATAAGTGTGATCGGTACCATATTTGACATATCTATGATGTAATCTATATATGGATATATACGATTTACATTATTAAATTATACTTATATGTAAATGAATTATACAGATCGTCCGTTCCTTACCAAGCTATTTTCCAAAGGTTTTGTAATTTATTCATATAAATTAATTATATTCTTACATATTAAAAGAATACCGACAAAACTACTAGACTGAAAATATTCTGTATTGTATTTTGCGAGTATAATCTTGCTTTTAAGCGTCTTCTATTTTAAATGATATAATCAATAATATGATTCTATGAAACACCCAATACCGATAGTGTACCTGCAGTGAATAACCATCTGGCCAGGAAGGACAGTTCTGTGAAGTTTTACACGACGATGAAACAGAACAAATTCTAACGTGTTCGGCGTTCCGTGGTCTGGCCAGTTCGTGAAATGAAATTGCTGAATCTCTCTTTTTTCCTTTGACTGATTTAAAAAAGATATTTTTAAAATTGAAATTACTTTAGTTCCTACAATAAATACTTTAATATGTAAAAATATGCACAAATACCAAAAATCATACAAACTTTAATTCTAAATTGAAGTTATTTTATTTTTCAGTTTTAGTAAGACAAACAAACATTAAACAGTAAATAATTGTTTCTTACAAATGTAACATACTTAACCTTATAATTTCTATTCACTTAAAGAGAATATGAAAAGTATGCCACAACGAAAGTGTGCCAAAATTGATCAGTTGGTAGCTTAGAAACTTAATTCTGAAGACTAATTAATTTTATTGGGATACCTTTCGTTCGATAAGCGTGATACTCCTGACGACGTGGTAAGCATAGTCTCGTTCCCTTTGGAGTGTTATGTCGAATGTTTGTGTTGTCATTGGATCCCCTTCGTCAGGCCAGTACTTGACACATTTTTCCTAAATGAATTATGATAACTTCTATTAATACATGTAGACGTCGTATTTGTTGATGAACAAGTAATATACAGGTTGAACGACTGCAAATCAGATACAAAAAGCAGACTTTGGTGTTTTACCGTTATCTCGTCTGCAAGATGTTCAGCTTTATAAGAAAAAGATGCATTACTTTTGTGGAAAACAACAAATTTCGTCATAGTTTAAAGGTTCCGAAAGATGCATTTGGTCCATGAAATTGTTTTCACGATCAAATTGAAACAACCGACGTCGCCTGTCGAAGCCAAAGATTCGAAACCTAATCTGTTATTCAGTGCATTCGACTTGTGAAATCCATTTACATTTCTCGAATGCTTTATTACACCAACATACCTGATTAGATTCGCGAGAGCTGATATAGAAATGACTATATTTGCGAATGATGAGCTATTAAAGACAGGGACTCTTCAACACTTCCTAAGTTATTTTCGTAATAATGATCGCAAAAACAATCAATTTGCGTAATAACGCGAAAATAAATCATGGGATTAACGACAGTTGTGAACAACATCTCATACGTGAGGTTTTCTACATGATGGCATCGCTTAATATCTGAAGCTGTATGATAACCATTTTCATTACTCTCACATATTGCAGCGATTCTATGAAATTGAGTAAAATCTTAAGTATTAAAATTATAAAAGGAAAATAATGAAATAAGAATGTTGCATTCGATATTAAAACAATTCTCAAAGATTTACAATGTAAAAACGGTGAATTGTTATCCAGTTTGGAGAATTATTTGATAAAGTAACATTATTTCATAAAATGTGTGCAAAATCATACATAATTTGTTATACATAAGAATGTAATTACCTTTCCACCTTCTACTAAATTTGTAAGCATCACTATCTTTCCGGAGTTAAGAATCCAGACCATCCTCCAAAAATCATCAGCCGAATTTTGCTTGGGTGCTGTATTAATGTAAAATGGGTGAATGAAACAGGGGAAAGCATTTTAAGAAAAGTTTGCACTAATTAACAACATGTAACGCTAACATTCATACTTACCGAACCCTGATATCGTATATCTAGCATATGAATATTGCATGTATATCTTGTTTTACTTGTATCAAACAGAATACATGCGGCCTGCCGTTAGTCATCTAGATTTATTAGAGAAAAGTAAATTGTACATTGACTTGAGTATCTCAGCACCCGAAAGACACAAACCATTATGTAAAGTTCGGACCACACAACTCAGATCTTCAGCTTTTCAGTGCTATAATTGGCCTTCCTAATGACCTATTATGACCTCTGTCATCTTAGTTACCTTGGGTTGCAACATAGACTTTCCTTTCTTCAACGCTCTGGAAAACAAACACATTGGATCGTATTAAAAACATCGTATTGAGAAATTCGAATATCTTGTATTTGTGGAAAATTGATATGAAAAAAGCTTGAAAATTAAATAGAAAATATGTTATTATCTGCCTAATTATGATAACATATGAAACGATAAGAAAGGTACTGAAAACGTATCTGTTCCTTTTAATTTATTTCTAGAACACTAAATAAGTGTGATTTACAGTCTTTATATTACAGGGTAAATACCTACGTCTATGTAGTTGGCGTTTATATAGTCTGATCCTTTCTCGCCTGCACGGCTGTCAAGTATAACTCTTGAATGGTCATCTGAACATGATATAAAATATAAATAAGTTTATGTGAGTTTATACTTGATCAATAAATGATCAGTACTATCGTAAAGAAAAAAACTTATTGTGAATTAAATCATAAACATTCCTTAAATTACTGAAAATAATTTACATGGCTACTTACATGGATATACGGATTTGAATCTATTTTTAGACTTATGCTTTTCTGCAATCGTATGAAGATAAACGCCTCCTACCGGAAATGTCTGTAAAATATGCATTCTGAATTACATTCCTTGACATAAATTTATGTAAATTTAAAAATAAACTATATTTCGGAACATTTCTTCACATTTTATATTACATTAATTTCATTCAAATATAAATACGCGCATTCTAACATTCCTTGTCAATATGGTATAGATTAAGGAATTTCTGAGAAAAGAAATGCGTTATACTATCTCATCAATATTTTTAAAAAATATTCTTAAGACGTAATTTAATCATAATAAAGTTAAGTTATACACGTTTGTCGATATTATGTATATGTGTATATACATTTCATTTGCCTCTATTGAAAACCGAGTTTTAGTTTGAATTTTAATGATTTTGTAAAAGGGAGGCAATTAAGACACCTGGAAACTTCATTATCAATTAAATAATTATAATTTGGAAGTTTAAGAGGTTCCTAAATAACTCTCCGATGAACTAGAAGAATAAGACCTAATGATCTAGAAGAGCAAAACTCATTTTTGAAAAACGAATGCGACACCTTTTCGTTGATTTATGAATATCTGTGGCATTGAATATATATAACACAAATTCAATTAACCATTACAAAACATATGATAATAATATCCATGGTATTTCAACAATATGGTTTTTACTTTGTATAAAATATGTTTTTACTTCAAATTGCGCTATAAATTCCTGTTTTCTATTTGCCATTTCATCAGTAATCATTGCCTTCAGCCTACTGACAGCAAACCAAGTTGGTCCTTCGTTGCAGTAACTATTTTCTTCTGGATAGTCTTGTGCAATTTCATCCACAATATTGATATAGGTATGCTCTTCATTTTTATCTGAAATAGAATCAAGTTCTATATGTAGGAAAAAAAAAGAAAAATGATATCCTGGAGTAATGTACATATATTTATGAATGGTTTATTTTCCAATTATTTTTTCAATGAATACTTGTGATATTCGAGAACATAATTATATCAATTTTCACAGGTTCGCAATGAACCATCGGGTGGCGCAGTGGTAACACACACGCCTTTCAACAAGCCGTTCTGTGTTCGATTCCCGCAATGGATGGAAAAAGGCATAGGGTCATTTGCTCGACCACATTGGTTTTCCTAGCGAACTCCGGTTTCCTCCTACAGTCAAACCCCTCTCGCGCTTCCATGCTAATATAAGTTGGAAAAAAATTGCTTCGCAATTGTTGTCAAAGAAATAAAGCTTATTATAATTTTGGCAGTCGCACAAGTGGCGAAACAGAGGGAGGCCTGTTTCGAACGGTATTAAAACCTGTTCGAATGAGGTTGACTGTGTTAATCTTGCCTCATCTAGAGTTGAAAGAGTTGGGTCTCAGACATCAAAAGTGCGAGCCCCCGCGCCATGAGTTCTATTCCCTTTGTCTTAGAGTTGGATCCATGACCTTATAGGGGTATTATGCAATATCGCTGCACCGTGTAGCCATAGAGAGAAAGGGAGGGTATATCTAGGTTAGCAAGTAGCACATTAGAGTATAGACTATGGGTGACCGTTGTGTCTGGTTGTAGAGTTGAAAGGTCAGGACTTTATCTGACTGCTATATAAAGTTTCAATAAAACTTATTCGATGCCGTGTATCTCCTCTGTCCGTTGTGCCCTTATCGGATACCAGTTTTCTTTGAAAATCTACCACGAATATTTATATATATATTCAATCAATACCGTAGACGGTTTTATACCTGAATGCTCGTTTGAATTGTTTGACGATGGTGGCTTTTCATATAATATTGTAGGCTCTGATGTGTTTTCTTTCGAAGTGGATGATCTGAAAAATAGAAATTAATCACTGAGAAATAAATCTCAAAATGAAGACATTGATTGTTATCTTTTATGTTTCATCCATAGCTGATAGCTATATTCGTATACTTGATAAATAAAGCATCATGCGATTTATTTGACTGACTGAAATTGTGTGCACTTGCATTTACGTGCCTGAGCAGCATTTAACATAGTTTAGATAATATCTATATTCAATTACAAAGTATAGGTTCTGTTCACCAAATGAACACTTAATTGGTACTATCTTACCGTTTGACTTTACACATTGTTACTATGATCACAACAGCCAGTAGAACAACAGCTGCTCCTCCTCCAGCGTACGTTCCTATATTACCGCCTTCATCTCCCGACTGTCTGGCTCCTACAATAAAAAAATATTGAGGAAACAGTTGTGATGGCCACCATGAGTAACATTTGTAATTGACATTGAAATGGATATTTCGCAATTTTCTAGATATTTGGTATGTTGGTATTTTCTTCTTGTTTTCTTACATACATTTCCATATATAGCAATAAGAGTTGTAAGAAATTAACTTAAGATATCCTTTGAACGTATCAGCTAATTTTGTCCCTAGTTAGTAATGTGTATATATAGTTTTAACCTACAATTTGAAACGATACCTTTGACATCACAACGCTGACCGGTCCAACCCGTCAGACATGATTTCTCACAAAATCCTGTTGTCATATCACAGCGTTTGGCTTCACAGTTACCACAATCCATTGAACAAGAAGTATTGTAATAACCATCGATACAAGCTGAACATATATGTCATATTGGTATACTCAAACACACGAAATTCAAGAGATACTGATTATTTCCAAAGTTCCAAGGCTTTTTCTTATTTACACCACCAGATTGAAATTACTTTTGATATATTCATTGCAAGTGATACTTTATAGCCTTACATTGAAGAAAATACTAATGAGTAAGAACAAATATCTAACTGGTATAAAATAAGATTAAGAAGCAAAACAAAGATAAAAAAATGACTGAGTAACTACTTAAACACTGTCCTCCATCTTGGGCACAGGTCGTACAGTGATCTGAACAAGGCAGACTACAGTTGTCTCCATATGTACCGTTAGCACATCCAGCTGATATGTTAAATGTAATTCACTTTATTACAGAACACTTTGAAATGAAATAACGTGTGAACACTGCTGTATATATCATGATAAATCGCAAAAGTGATTTTGATTAGTTATGAACATATTTACTTCTATTTCACAAATATGATAACGATTTTACTAATATTGATAGTACATATAATACCTTGACTACATTGAAACGATCGTCCAACAAGATTTACTGTTATTGTAATTTTTATATGTATCATGTGTATTTCAGTATTTTCTGTTAACTATCATACTGACGGTAAGTATTGATATATATTACCTGTACAGCGACCACTGAAATTGCAATCTGTTTCCAAACAATTTTCCGAACATGGGGAGCAAAATGGACCAAAATAACCAAATTTACAATCTGAAATATTAAGAATTTACATTAAGCATATGCAATGATTCAGAAAGAGCTAAACAAATCTTGGAAAATAAACTATACAACGTAAATGGCATCCGATGATGGTTGTCCTGTGATTTTTTAAAATAACGAATGTCATCTTATAGAATTACGTTATTCAATTCACTTAAATGTCGGGTTAGATACACATGCAAAAATGCAAGCTTTGTACATATCTGGTTTTATGTAGCAACACATTATAGCATTTGATTTCATATACGTTAGTGTAGCATATTTCCCTTACCTC